GCTTACATTATTTAAAATGCAAAGAGCCAGACGGGTTATACTCTCTCTGTTCAATATTTTAGATTTCCTTGGCAACTCTGTCAACTGAAACAGATGGTCTTCATTCTGCTGAATATCAATCTGCAGCAATTTATCTGACTGATTTTTTTATATGGGAATGATAGTAACTTAACTAAATTTAATGATGTGTACGACTACATGAAGGCAGGTAATAATTTTTTTAAAAAAAACCAATATCTAGCTACCCATTACACTATTCCATTTTTGGATAAGCAGTGTGAAACAAAGTGCACAAGATATAAGAAATAGTATCCTACAAATACATGGGAAAAAGAGATCATAACTAAAATTATTCCAATATTCCAATTCTATTTTTTTATACCTCTAAAGAGTTTTCTATCTACCAACCATATTTATTTCCTACTACAACAATATACTGCTTAATAAAATGCCTTTTGGTCTTTAAATTTCTTGCCTTTTTCGCAGAATCTCGCCATCAATCTCTAACCAACCACAACCTATTTGGTCTTCTTCTTGATCTATTCTCTCCTTCCTGTACTTGTTTTGCAAATAAATTCTCATTCATTCTTTCCATAAGACAAAATGACTTTAATGTCCTTTTTTTCACACTCTATTCACTTTTCTATTTAGCCTACATTCACTATTCATTCTTGACTCTTATCTGTTCTTGTTGTATCACACCTTTCTTAACTATCACATTTCAATGTTTATATTTCTCCTGAAATACACAAATATACACGCAGCAAAATGAGTAACAGCTTTTTAGTTTCCTACAGAAACAGAGCACATATTGTATTTTCCACTATTATTCTAACAGCATTTGGACATCTTAAAATTTGTGCATTTTTAGTAGACACATTTCAATACAAAAATTCATACACTTGCTCTAAATTTTCTCCATATGTATAACTTGCAAACATTCATTCCATTTTTCCATGTAATACAATTACCTTAGTCTTTGATAAATTAGATGTTCATATCCATATTCCACATTGCATCTAAAATTTGCATCTAATATTTTCTAACATATTCAGGTTCTCATTTCAGAATATGGCATTATATGCAAAGAAGAATGCATAATGTCCATACCTTCAAATAACTTCTGATGTCCTCACAAGCATTTCTCATATATTTATCCTTAAACACATTAAACAGTTATAAGAATGTCAAATATTATTTTCTTATTCCTGGGTCAGTGTTGAACTATTCACTAACCATTATATACCAGCACATGCTTTATCTCCATAGTATTTCTCTCTTACCACATTCAACTATATACTTACATAAAAGTATTTTAGCCAATTTGTTTTTTTCATATCCTTTGTCTAAGTCAACAAATGTATCATAAATCCCTAATCTTTCCTTCATACAATTTTAAATGACCTTTTGGAGAGCAAAACTCTGCTTTGCACACTGCCCGGCATAAAGCTGCAATGCATTCTCCAAATTGTCCTATGATATATAATTTTGACAAATAAGACACTTTGATTGTCTGTTACAGTTAATAGCAATAGCACTTAGACTTATATACCGCTTCATAGTGCTTTTACAGCCCTCTCTAAGCGGTTTACAGAGTCAGTATATTTTCCCCAACAATCTGGGTCCTCATTTTACCCACTTTGGAAGGATAGAAGGCTAAGTAAACCTTGAGCCTGGTGAGATTCGAGCTGCCAAATTGCAGGCAGCTGGCAGTCAGCAGAAGTAGCCTGCAGTACTGCACTCTAACCACTGCACCACCGCAGCTTAAATGACACTACTTACTCTTCAGGATGTCTACATTTAGTTCAGATGGCAAACAATAAACTCTTTTCTGTGCCGATATTTAAAGATTCCTAAATACAGGTAATCCTTGACTTACGACCAGAATGGAGCCCAACATTTCCAGTGCTAAATCAGACAGCTGTTATGTGAGCTTTGCCTCATTTTATGACCTTTTGCCATAATTGTTAAGCAAATAGCTGCAGTTGTTAAGTGAACCACATGGTTATTAAATGAATCTAACTTTCCCCATTGACTTTACTTGTCAAGAACCATCAGGGAAGGTTACAAATGGTGCTCACATGACCCTGGAACAGTGCAACATTCATAAATACTTGCCAGTTNTATATATATATATATATATATATATATATATATATATATATATATATATATATATACACACACATACATACATACATACATACATGCATAAATAGGCAGTTATGTACATTTTAATATACTCTGTTTCAATATAATATTTCCTTTGTCTTCAAAACAGTTGGAAAAAACATCTACAGTAAAGAAGTTTATAATAACATAACAATTACAGCTTTCCATTTAAGTTCCATTGGTTGTTTCTGGATTATTGTAGATGCAGGGTCTGTTGTAGAAGAAGCAGAGTTCAGTTGGGATGACTATTTGGAAGATACAGGAGCAACAGCAGCACCTCACAGCTCATTTAGACATGTAAGTAAACATCTGGTCAATGTTGTCTTCTGTATGTGTTTTTTAAACTCTGATCCCTTGGTAGCCATAATGAGTAGAAGCTCTTCATTTCAGATCCTTGAGAATTCTAAGTGCAGTCCCTTAAGCTCTTTGCTGTAACTTTTGGGCTTTCGTAATGCCCTCACAGGTCCCATTTAAAGGGGAATAACAGTAATAGAGAGCATTTATTTTTGTCCTTTGCTTTGCAAGGGGGACTCTTGTGCTTCAGTTAGTGCTAGAGACAGATCCAAAGAATTGCTGACTTAAATATTTTTTAAAGTGGCTGTTCTATGGTGCAAAGTGAAATCTTTTGCAGTTACAACAGATGAAGATAATTAGTTTGCAAAGAGCTTGCTGACTCATCATCTTAAGGCTTTCTTCCATGCCTTGTTGACAACACCTTACTCACTCAGTCATCCCTTTCTCCCTTTTATTTTGTTTCCTTGTAGTAGAAGTGAACATAAAACATGAAAATTAACTTGCTACTTTTTAAAATGTAATGTTTCAGATAAAAGTATGTTACTGATTTTTTTTTGCTACCAAACAAAATAATTGGACAGGGACTGTAACTTTCAGAAAAGGTTTATAGTATGATATGGATGCTGTGAAACTTTCCAGGATTTTTGTGCTAGAAAAAAATACTTTGGTAATAGTGTTTGACTATTGAAATGTCATTTTTTAAATTTTCAAATAATGAAAGCATATAATTTTTAACAAAGATTACATTGATTCTAATTTACAATCTCTAGGGGCATTTTAGAGTATAGTACAACTGTGGGCTGTCTGTTACACCATTAAAAACATAACTCTGTAGACAGGGTTTGAGTATAATTGTTCTCTTTTTCAATAACCAAGTTAATGTTTTAGGAATTTAAATCGTATGAAAAAAATAATTGTGATAAACCTTCCTAGGGAGGCATTCAGCAGAATTTTGATTGATATGGCCCAAGATGTGACAATGAGCAAAATTTGGGAAGTCCAGTTTTACACTGGACAGGACGTGTAGAGATCAGATTTTTCTGTTTAGCAAGGAATTGAGAAATATAGGGATGTGAGAATTATACAAGTGTTTATTATACACTTGTTGATAGGCTTAAATTATGAAATGTTTTATACAAATATAGAATGTAAGACTCATTATTAAAAGCAACAAATAAATCAGATACATAAGTAAGGAATTTGCAAGAAGAGACTAAATGCCTATTGAATGATTCATGGCTGAGCAGGGGTAAAACAAAAATGTGTAATATCCCCTGGGTTGTTTTGCAGATCTATGGATAAATGGATAAGAATGCTTGTAGTTGTATTAGAAATGTTTTGGGGGAGACGTTACAGGAAAAATAGAATGAATTATTAAAATGCTGTATATTAATGGCAAAAACTAGAACAAGTAGATTAATTTGTATAGCTTAGAATTTTTACTAAAAATAAAAGACAAATATTTTAAGATATGTAAATATTAGTAAAAATATGCTGGATAGTTTGTGATTTGGTCAAGGAAAATTGTGTTTATCAGAAAGAAGCTAACTGGCTGTATGTTACATCATATTTTAGCCTACTTAGTATGAAAGTGAGAATTAAATATGGCCAGAGAAATGCAGGTTGACTGCAGTGGAAATGGGGTATTTAAGAAGTGTGTGTAGTAAGAAAAGAGATAATGTGAAGAATGAATGGGTACTGAATGAGTATAGATCACACCCAAAAATGAGTAACAAGTACGAATGGAAGATCTTTGGTCATACATACAGAAAGAATGAATGAGGACTTTATGAAGTGATGGAATACTTGTTTCTATTTATAGTCTGTTTTTATTGTGTACCCAGAGTCATGTTTTGTGAGATTGGCAGCTATATAAATGTGATGAATGAATGTAACAATATATTAAAAGAAAAGTGAATGAGTTGAGAGAAAAAGATAGACAGAGAAAGTTGTGGTTGTCTAGAGTTTATGATATCCTCTAAAAAGAGAAAGAGAAATCCAAAGAACAAAAAGCAATAAATGTAGTATCAGGATTCCACCCCCCCCCCAAAAAAAGGCCTGGAGATGTAGTTAATTACATTAGTAAATAAGCTAGTTTTAGCTGCCCCCCCCCTTTTTAATCTCATGCTATTACTATTTCTTACTCCTTTTCTGCATAATGTGGTTTATTCCGGAAGAAAGCAGCAAGTATATGCATGTGCCATGAATGCAAAATAATGGGAAAAATATTGGACCAATTGTATAAATATATATGTGTGCATCCATGTCACAAGAGGGCAGTATGTGTATATCTATTTAATTACTTTATGACATAAAGTTTACCAATTTAATCCCCCCTTCCCTAAAATATTGTTACTATAACTGCCTTTGGTCAAGTACAGAGTTTTTCAATCATAAGCTAGCATACATAGTTACTATGTATACCCCAACATATTAAAGATGGAAAATGCAGAAGAGTTCTATTCTTACCTGGGGGCAAGATCCAAGAATGTATTTCTGTAGTGTCATAAATGGGATTACATAAGAAATTGGATCACTAGGACTACTACTGTAGTCTTACTAGATTGCCATGAGAGGGTGCTATTGGAACAGGAAAGAGAATGTTTTGTATATATTGGTTCCTGTCCAGAGTAGTCATATTTATTTGTATAGTAAGATATGTATCAAATTAAGACGTCTTATTCTTGTTCTTATTCTTGCTTGCATGCTATTGTTTATTTACTTTTCTTAGTTTATTAATTATTAGTTAGATTTTTTTCTCCCAAGTTCTGTCTTGATTTATCTGTTCATCTAGAACTGTATATTTATGTAACTTTCCATTTATATCTGAGTGAGACTATTGTCTAATTCTGCTTCATTTCCAATTTGAAATACATTTTTGTATGAGTAAAGCTTTTTCGATAAAAATGATTATTCAATTTGAAAAATTGTGAGTAAAGTTTATTCAATAGAAATAATTTCTAATTTATTCAATGGCACTTAGTTATTAATATAATATAATAAAACATAACAACATACCATAACAATACATAACATAATATATAATAATATATATGTGTGTGTATGTATATGATTCCTATAATAACTGAATAAATGCAATTCAAATATTTGGATTGCTCATCTGTGTAATTTGCGTTCATTATGATAGGCGACAGTATGATATAATTAAAATAATTTATTGGATTAAGGCAGGGCTTTTTTTTTAACCTGAAGGTTTTATTGTTTGAGTTTATTGATAAGGTAACTTAGTTTTTTATGTTTATAAGTACAAAATAGATGTAATTATCAGTTGTATTGAATAGATTTCAGTAGCGCAATCTGGGAGTATAAAGCAGGAGTTTTATACTCTAAAGTTTGTAATCTGGGCTTCTAGATTGTTGTGAATTAACTAATTCTAGATACATTGCCCTGTTGATCATTTATTTTTTGGGGGGGGGAACCACTTGATCTATTGTAGGTTATTACCATTGTATCCTTAAAACTGTATCCTAATCTGATTGTAGTATTTTTCAATTATATACCCTGTTTCCCCGAAAATAAGACACCTCCAGATAATAAGCCCAATCAGACTTTTGAGCACACACGCTAAAATAGGCTCTCCCCTGAAACTAAGCCCTCCCCAAAAATGTTGCAACATAGCAGCAGCCATTAGGTCAGCACAGTCACCACCTCCTGCACCTCAAAAATAATAAGACCTCCCTGAAAAATAAGGTCAAGTGCTTATTTCAGGGGGGGGTTAAAAGAAAATAAGACCCTGTCTTATTTTTGAGGAAATTTTTATTATTATTTTAACTGACCAATTAGTATTATTTTAACTGACCAATCCAGAAATGTTAATCCATTATCTTCCTTATTCCCAGTTATCAACAGAAATCCCTAACTTGTGCCAAATATTTTATAAATAATGTTAGGTAAAGGTTCCCTTCGCACATATGTACTAGTTGTTCCTGACTCTAGGGGGCAATGCTCATCTCCATTTTAAAGTCGAAGAGCCAGAGCTGTCTGAAGACATCTCTGTGGTCATTTGGCCGGCATGACTAAATGCTGAAGGCGCATGGAACGATGTTACCTTCCCACCAAAGTGGTTCCTATTTTTCTACTTGCATTTTTTACGTGCTTTCGAACTGCTATGTTGGCAGAAGCTGGGACATGTAATAGGAGCTCACTCCATTATGCCGCACTGGGGATTCAAACTGCTGATCTGTCGATCTTTGATCAATAAGCTCAACATCTTAGCCGCTGAGCCCCCACATCTCAGGTTAAATAATGTTACAGTATCAAAATTGTTGACTTGATTTTTCCTTTTCTTTTAGGTGGATACCAGCCCACAAAATGGCTTCACACCAGGCATGAAATTGGAGGTTGCTATCAAACCTGGCCCTGACACTTACTGGATTGCCACAATCATTACCACTTGTGGGCAGTTACTACTTTTGCGCTATGATGGTTATGGAGAAGATCGCAAGGCTGATTTCTGGTGTGATATCATGACAGCTGATTTGCATCCACTTGGCTGGTGTGAGCAGAACAAGAAGACCCTCAAAGTGCCTGAAGGTAACCATGTTCTATGGAACAAAGTATAAACTCACAAAATAACTGCCTGTAAAGTGATTAAGATATTGTTCAGGCTTCTCTACATTTTTGTATTTGGTTTTACATGGGCATCACTTTAAATAGGTTTGCAAGTATTACTTTTACATTTACTTTTACATATTCGCTATGATACCTAAAAGTCAACTACACATCAGTCCATTTGTCTTTTTAATGTCAATATAAGTATTGGACTTAATAATATCATATATTATTGACAATCTTATTTTTGGTTCTCATGATTGAGATCCTATACCTGTTCCTTTTGGTGCTGTCCATGGGGTTTAGTTTTCCTGGGCTCTTAAGATCACTGCAGATGGGGACTACAGCCAAGAAATTAAAAGACACTTGTTCCTAGGGAGGAAAGCTATGGCAAATCTAGACAGCATACTAAAAAGCAGAGACATCACCCTGCCAACAAAAGAGTGTATAATCAAGGCTATGGTTTTCCCAGTTGCAATGTATGGCTGTGAAAGTTGGTCCATAAGAAAGGCTAAGCGCCATAGAATTGAGGTCTTTGAACTCTGGTGCTAGAGAAGACTCCTGCGAGTCCCTTGGACTGCAAAGCGATCAAATCAGTCAGTCCTAGAGGAGATCAATCCTGACTATTCCTTAGAAGGCCAGATCCTGAAGATGAAACTCAAATTCTTTGGTCATCTAATGAGAAGGAAGGGCTCACTGGAGAAGAGCCTAATGCTGGGAAAGATTGAGGGCAAAAGAAGAAAGGTACGACAGAGAATAAAGTGGCTGGATGGAGTCATTAAATCAGTAGGTGTGAGCTTAAATGGACCTCAGAGGATGATAGAGGACAGAAAGGCCTGGAGGAACGTTGTCCATGAGGTCGCGATGGGTCGAACATGACTTCGCAACTAACAACAACAACAACCTGTTCCTACTCTAGATTTAATCATCCTTGAACTCAAGAACTCAGGTCAAAAATTCTGAAATGTACTCTTAAGTAATCCAAAAGTTGCAAACATGTTGAACCATAGACATGTGGGTTTGCTTTTGACCTTCCCAGGTAACTTTAATCAAGCTGCTTGTGAGATAGCAAGAGTGCATATTGATTGACTTAGTTTTTCCTCTCTTTTTTTAGGCATTAAGGATAAAATTCCCAATCAAATAGAATTCCTTCAGCAAATTCTGAAAGGAGCATGTAGTCCTCCTGCTGGTCTTCTAGAAGGGGTAGGTGTCTACACAGTAACAATTGTAGAAGTAAAGATTCTAGTTCAATAAAACTGACTGGTAATTACCACTTGTTTTTTTTATTAGTGGCGTGTTTTTTTTCTCTCCAGTTTGGTTATAACTTCATCTTTCTGGAATATATTTAAGTAGTGACAAGAGAGATTTTGCTGTATGGCTATAAAAGATCCCATAACATGGGAGTGGAATTTCAGTAGAGAAAAGAACTTCATCAGTGGGATGGCATATCTATTGTACAGGTAGTCCTCATTTAACAATGGTAATTGCCACCAGGATTTTCATTGCTAACCGATGCAGTCATAAAATGTGGCATCACATAACCACGTTGTTTAGTGATGACAAGCTTAGCAGTCCTCATTGCTGTTTTTAAGCAAGGTTTGTAGGTTATTAAGTGAAAACCTCACGTGACTGGCACTTGTGACTTCCTCCTGGATTCTCATTAAGTCAGTGAAGAAGCTGTCAGGCGCAAGTCCCAGGCAAATCACAAGCAGGCAGGCAGGCAGGCAGGCAGGCGGCGGGTAAATATTATGGAATGAGGCAGAGTTGGAAAAGGGCTGTGGTAGTGTGAATGACTTGCAACTTTCCCTAGTGGCTTCCCCATTGATTTTGCTTATGAGAAGTTGGCAGGAAACAGCATTTGCAGGGGTGCTGGAGGTACTGTGATGGTCAGAACTTTGGGAACCTGTTGCAAGTACCACTCCTTCAGTGCCATCATTAACTGCAAACAGATACTCAGTGAATGATTGAGGAGCGAAGAAAGAGAACAATGACATAAAGACTGTAATGTTTATCTTGTATTTAATGTGGGCTATCTTTCAAGAATATTTTATAGAAGCTCATCTTGATTTTGTTTTTGTAACTTTCAAAAATAACCTCTCCATAATTGCTAGTAAACTTTCTGGTTTGTAAAATTACCTTCACCTCTTTTTGTTCACGTTTTGATACCTTATGTAATGTAGTGACATAGATGTGGAAAGGATTTCTAATACTGTTAGATTCAGTGAATCGAGAGTTTGCTTCATGAGCTCATCAATTAATCTAATTTACGGATTGACTCACCTCTGCTATTTGCTGCTTTTGGAAGCTAATGGCATCATATAAAAGCGTACATTAAAATGGAGAACTAGTCATCCATTAGTATTCTGGATGAGTGGGAAATAGACATACATATATATATAAATAAATAATATATTTCTATTAAGGAATATACATTTAAACAGAAATCAATGCTATAATGTACTAGTTACTTAAAAGCAAATAGACTAAAAGCCTAGAAAGCAAAGACAATAAGAAATAGCAAATAAGAAGTTTATTTCACAATAATTGTGAACCTGTTACAAATACAACCATATTACAGATAATAATGTCATTACAAAAAGATAAAATGTGTAAGAAAATGAATGAAGTACGTACATAAATAATGTTACATTTTAGAATAGATAACTAGGCAGATGTCTAACATTTTTCTTTCTTTTTACTCTACAGCTCCATCGAGGAAAAAATTCTTTGGATCTTATTGCACCAGGGTCACGACTTGAATGTCAGCACATAAATAGCTGTCTAGGAGCTTGGATAGTCACTGTTCTGGAAAACATTGGTGGAAGACTCAGGCTGCGCTATGAAGGACTTGGAGATGTAGAACAATATGACTTATGGATGTTCTATTTAGATCCCTTTCTCCATCCAATGGGTTGGGTATCTCAGCAAGGATACATTCTTGAACCTCCTTTAGGTACAAAACTTAATTTTCAATCACAAACTAGAACTTCAGACTGAAAGAAATTAACTTCTTGTCTGTAGTTTTCTGGATCTTCCTCCTTCCCTTGTTTGATGATACTTGTATACTTGTGTCAAGCTGCCTTCTTAAAATAATCCATTCTTAAAATAATCTTTGTTTCTTTCAGTTGAAATGGAATTATTATTAGAGTTCGTTCTTTTCAAACAAATATTTTGTGCTGATGGCAACTTATTCTTCGTATAAGGATTTAAATCTCTTTCTTATAAAATCTAAGTTTAAGAAAATTTTGCTCAGAGCTAAAATAATTTTGCACTGTGGTGAAATGCCTAGCCAAACTAGAAGGGAATTAGCTATAGAAAGTAAATCATCCTTACTTGACCGCTCAGATCATGTTTTTGAGGAAAGTTTTCTAGGTGGACTATTCAAGATCAAAACTATATATGAGAGTGGGAGAGAGAGAGGGAGAGGGAAGGAGATATATATATCCCAGTAAGGGTATGGCTAGCTGATGACAGCTAAATAGCTTGAAATAGATCTATACTAGTCTCCCTTTATTTATTTATCAGCACAAATACAAAACAAACAAACACACACACACACACACACACATATATATATAAATTTCACATATATATATATATATATATATATAGGATGGAAGGCTGAGTCACATTTCAGGAAGACAAAATTTCATATATATATATGAATATGAATATATGAAAATATGAATATTTCATATATATATATATGAAATTTTGTCTTCCTGAAATGTGACTCAGCCTTCCATCCTTCTGAGGTTGTCAAATGAGGATCTATATTGTTGGGGGCAATATTCTGTAAACTTAGAAAGGATTGTAAAGCACTGTGAAATAGTGTATATAGATCTTATTATAATTGTTACATTACTATGAATGTAATAAAATATATTCATTTTAAAAGTGTGTTTTACTTTTAAGGGGATAACAAATTTATCTTTCTTTTATTGAAGCTATTAGGCATTTGAAGACTGAAATAGAATGGCAAGAAACACTAGCAAAAGTAAAAGAAGAGGAAGAAGAATCATTAGTGCCCACTGATCTGTTCAAGGTATGACATTTGGCATTTACTGTATTCTTAGCAAATGCTATGATTAAATCTAATATGAACAAAAATAATTTCTGGGAACTAGACAACGTAATATTTTAATTAAGCTTTTTACTTATTGGATATGAGAAACACTAGGTAATTTAAAATTTTAAAATATACTGTTTAAGATAATGTATAGATTATTTTAGAGATTAATGAAACAGATACACTTTTGACTTCCCATCCTGCAGGAAAACTCCAAACCCAGTTTTGAAAGTTTCAAAAATATTTTGTCAATTTTTTAAAGAAATAAGCAATTCCATAATGTTATGATATGAATTATTTTTGAGAGAGCAACTTTGGTAGTTTTAATTTGTTGGCTTCCTATAAGTGGAAAAGGTCCATATTACTTTCAGGGAAACAGAATGTGTCTTTTATCAATGGGAAATATTTTGCAGGTCTCATTCTCTATTATAAATAATTTTCTTCCTTGGAGACTGCCTCACTGATCTTGATGTCACTGAATAATATAAAGCAGAAAAGAAAACTGATCCAAACAAAATAAGGGTATTTTAAAAATAACTCTCCCCCACTCTCTCTTTCTGTATACATGTGTGTGTACATATCTATGTACATATATATTTAGGTATTAAGAAAATGTTGAGAGATAGAAACTAACGGTTTTTATTAATCATTTTTAGGACAAACCTGTTGTTGGAACTCATGCATTTTCTGTAAATATGAAGTTGGAAGCTATTAATCCAAAAGCTCCTTTTGCCATATCACCTGCTACAGTTACAAAGGTATCACAAGTATCTCAGCTGCTAACTCTGATTTCCTTCTTCATTGCCAAGAAAACTATTCTCTATAATTTACTCACACTCTAATTTAGGTCACTTTGAATGGAAGCTAATTTTGTAGGGCATTTGCAACAAGAACATGTCTCAGTATTTGTTCATAAGTACCTGATTTTAATTCTGAGTTTCAGCTCCAAGAAATATGAAATGATATTATGGAAGAGGCAGAGCTCAGTTTCTGTATAAGTCAGCAACTATGAAAGCTCCTTAATCTGGGATTGAATTGCAAGGAGCTAGACTCACAGGCAGCTTTAAGAACGTTATTGCTTAAAATTAAGTAGTGACATTTATCTTTTAAAAGAATTTTATGTGGTTCCAGTAGTACACAAATGCACATTTTTTCTTTCATTATGCTAATATTTTATCAATTGCAGATGTGAATCGATATTAATCTTGAAATAATTTGTTTTGGTTTTTTCCTATCCAGCTACTTGCTGGATTCTTAATTTTTAAAAACTGGAGTTAAGCCATGATACATTTCTTTGCGCCTAAAATCACAATGGGATGAAAAATATTATTAATAAAAAATAAGAGAAAATTTATAATATGATTTTCCTCAATAGATATTGAAATAATAAGAGAACAATATTTTTAGCATCTGGGTTGTTTTTTTCCTGTTTTGTGAATCAATTTGGCTTATGAGGTGTAGAAGTGAACCATATGTTTAAAATGGTTGAGTTTTACTCCTAGTGATTGCATGGACATGTTGTGCAGTTTTCTTCTCAGTAGTCCAGAAAAAGTTTGTCACTGCCTTCTTTTAGAATGTCTTTTGATTTTACAATCTACTCTACGATAGAATAGTTTCTCATAAAAATACTAACTTGGTTTGACCTTATTTACTTCCTGAGCCCTAAAGATGCATGTGTAAAAGCTAGCTATCAGATATTTTCAGGAACACTATTTCTTATCCTCCCCATCTATAAAATTATTGCAGTGAAACAGTTTTATAAAATAAATAAGACTTCTCACATTGTATAATTGTATAATTTTGGAAAAGTTCTGTGGCTGTTGCTAAGCCAGTGAAAACCCTTAGGAAGATTTGATGTAGATTAGTTCCAAAATTCCTAGTTGCTGGTTTGGGAAATGCAAACATTATTAATGACATACTGAGTGAGCATCTTGCAGAGTAGCAGAGAGATTCAGTATTAACAAATGTTTAAAACTGAATATAAATTGCAGTTTTAAGATGGTTTTATAGGTATTTGTGCAGCTGTATTAATAACTATGTCTGCAATAGGTACACAGCTTTTTTATTACTTTCTTAGCCTAAACCTTCATGACAGTTATGAGTTCTATATTGCCAACGCTATCAATTCTTTATTTTAATTTTTTATTCTTTTTGCAGTCAGCATTCTTTTTATATTGCATGTCTCTTTCTTATCTTATACTTTCCATAGTGCAGCATCCCATTTTTTATATAAAATAACTTTTCTGTTAGACTGTTGGCATTTCTTCTTGGTTTCATCTTTGTGTTTTATTATATCTTTTGGCCCCCTATGCTTGAGCTCCCCATTTCATTATATACATAAATTTGTCAACTTGAAATTTATTTTAATTTCTTGGTAAGCTAAAACCTCTTAGTGCTGTTTTCCGGAAGAATTTTGCAGGATTAGCCAGGATTGGGTATTGTGATGTCCAATTGGCCTCGAGACAGAGTTAATTTGAAGCCAGGCCTCTGTGCTCCTTGCTTCTGGTTCCCAGTTTCAACTTTGTCTGGTCGAAGAAAGAAAGGTTGATTTTGGTTCCCGATTCTTCCAAAAACAATCCAGTACTACAGGAACAAAATGTTGACTTCTAACTTGTCTAACTAAGGCTAACAAACTAACTTTACGGTCGTGGGACAGGAAACCCTTCCCCAGCTTAAAGTCTGTGATGGTCCCCAGGTGAGGAATCCTGGTGACGGGAATGAGGGAACTCTTATCTAGGTTAACCGAAAAATCTAATTGCTGTAGTGTGAACACCACCAACGAAAGATCCTCCCTTGCCCGCTCAAATGATGCTGCTTGGACTAAGATGTCATTGAGATAGCATTGGACTCTGACAGAGCGCTCATGGAAGTTAGCCGCCACTGCGGCTAGGACCTTAGTGAAGGTCCGAGGCGATGACACCAAGCCAAACGGTAGGGCCCTATACTGGTAGTGGCTACCTAAATAGGAGAACCTGAGATACTTACGATGGCCAGGGAAGCTGGGGATATGGAGGTAAGCCTCTGTCAGGTCGATGGAGGCCATGAAGTCATAGTACCTGACCCCCACCAAGATGGATTTAAGCGATGCCATCTTGAATCTTCTATAGACTAAGTGAAAATTTAGCAGTTTAAGATCCAGAATAGCTCTCCATCCCACTGAACTCTTCAGAACGACAAAGAGGTTGGATAGAAACCTGACCCCACTTGGTCTGGTGGAACCGGTTCCACCGCCCTAATCTCTAGGAGGTGTTGGATCGCCTGCCTCATGAGAGAGCATTTATCTTTACTCTTAGTGACCGAAAAAGTCCAAAAGTGGTTCGGCGGAATGGAAAGAACACCTACTCCTATAGTAGTGCTCTCCAGCTTTCTTGCATAGACGTGGTGCCTTGGGCTCATCTATATGCGAGGCCGCTCCAATGGCGTCTCCTGCTGTATTAGAGGTCAAACTTCAGCAGTTCCAAGGAAAAGGTTCCAGTGACACCACAGGTGCAGCTGTCATTGAGGTGATGGCTCTCCCCAGTGCTACACGAGGGCTGTGAGTTCAAGGAGCCAGGGCGCCTCATCCTGACAACGGACGCCAGCTTGTACGGGTGGGGAGCTCTCTTGGAGTCCTGGATGGCGCAGGGGCGTTGGACCTTGTTGGACCACCAACACAAAATAAATTGGCTGGAACTGCGAGCAATTCACTTGGCATTGCGGCACTTCAAGGACCATGTTTGGGATCAAGACATCTTGGTGCTAAACTGACAATGTGGCAGCGAAGGCCCACGTCAACTGACAGGGCGGCACACACTCCAGGGCTCTTTGAACCGAGGCGATGGCACTCAGCGCCTGGGCGGAGAGGCATCTTCGATCGCTCAGGGCGGAGCACATCACAGGAGTGAACAACCATCAAGCCGACTGGCTCAGTCGGGCCATGGTTGACCATGGGGAGTAGAGCCTTTCTCACTAGCAGTGCAGCTACCTTGGCGGCCTGGGCCACACAGGTGCCTATCGTGGAGATTTGCAGGGCAGCTCCCTTTATCAGGCACTACAGGTTAGACGCGTTTGCATCGGTTGATACGGCGTTTGGTCATAGGGTGGTACAACAGGTGGTAGCACATGAGGAGTCCGGGACCAATAGTGCCTCCCCCCCCAGGGACGTTAACTTGGGTATGTCCCAATCCTGGCTAATCCTGCAATATTCCTCCGGAAAATGACAGTTGGTCTTACCTGAACTGTTGTTTTAGAAGGTTTTGCAGAATTAGCCAGGTTCTCGCCCTAGCGTTGGTCCAGGGGTTGGGGGAGTTCAGGGGGTAGGATGTGTTCCCTTATGACTTGTTTTCAGGTGTTTTGCAGTGGTCTTGACTTGTTGAAACTGGGAACCAGAAGCAAGGAGCACAGAGGCATGGCTTCATATTAACTCTGTCTCGAGGCCAATTGAACATCACAATACCAAATCCTGGCTAATCCTGCAAAACCTCCTAAAACAACAGTTCAGGAAAGACCAACTGTCATTTTATTTTTAGGCTTAGAATGTGCTTAACAGCCTTAGAAGTCCCAAAAGGGGTATTCCAGATAGAAAGGTGAGCTAAGGTGACACAGTGGTTAGAGTGCAGTACTGCAAGCTATTTCAGATGACTGCTGGCTGCAGTTCAGCGGTTCAAATCTCACTAGCTCAAGGTTAACTCAGCCTTCCATCCTTCCGAGGTGGGTAAAATGAGGAACCAGATTGTTGGGGGCAATAGGCTGATTCTGTAAAACCACTTAGAGTGGGCTGTAAGAACACTATGAAGCGGTATATAAGTGCTATGCTAAGTGCTAAGGTTTCGGGGTGTGAGAGAATTACTCTCTCTTGCTGTCCTTCTGTATTCATCATTCTAAAGCACAATTTATGCCAGATATTAAATTCTTAATTTCAAGATATTTATAAAATCCTGACTAAAGAAACGAAGAAATGCAGATATATATTGTATCTTCATTTCCTCAGGTGGATATTTTAGGTCATTTAAAAATTGGAGGGCCCTGACAGTCTCATTCTCTTTTCATTTGAAGACTTGAATTAAACTTCTTGTTCTATTTTGTCATTTTAAATTTCAGACATAGCATTTTATATTCTTTCTATTTCTTTTTTCCTTAGGGGTTTTCTTATAGACTGTAAGATGTTTTAGGCAAATCTTTCTGCAATCTTTCTGGGGCCAACAACTGCACTTATTTGCACAGAATATTAAACCCCATTATAGCAGGGAAAGCTATGGTTGGTGTAGTTTAATTAAAATTTCAAATTAAGCTAACATTTCCTATGTTCTTCTGTCATATTCAGTGACAACATCTGCGGTTCAAGACTTTGTCAAATGCCATCTTTTATTTTAAGATAGCTAATATTTAATACAATTTGTTAAAATTCTCTCAACAAGGGACAAAACTATAGAAATACATAACATAGACAGGAAATATCTTAACAAATATAGTTGTAACTTGATTGTGAAACTATATATGATTTCTATTTTTATATTATCTAAGTCATTTCTCTTATTTTTGCAGGTATTTGATGATAAATATTTCTTGGTAGAAATAGATGATTTGAGACCAGATTGTACCACAAGACAGCCTTTTATTTGTCATGTCAATAGTGCTGGACTTTTCCCTGTGCAGTGGAGTCTGAAAAATGGCTTACATCTCAACCCTCCACCTGGTGTGTATAAGTAATCTACCATCATTCGTATCAGTCTTCTAGATGCATTTAAATTTGTGGTATAATTTAATTTTGTTTATTGAGCTATTTTGGAGATGGATAGTTTTGTAGCATAATTCAGTTGTAGTTTAGACCTGAGAAAGAATTTTCTGAAGTTTGGAGCTTTTTTTT